ACATGAGGGGGGCAGTGTTCCCTCTAAGTTGAGTTAGTGTGAGCTAGCTCACAGTTTTTTAGCCTTCAGCTCACACAGTTTTGTCTTAGCTCAGGAAGGACGGCTCCAGAGCAAACTAATTTGTGCAGTAGCCAGATTGCTGACTCACAACTTTAATGCCAGTAGCTCACAAAGTAGAATTTTTGCTCACAAGACTCCACAGCTTAGAGGGAACATTGGAGGAGGGTGATGCTTGTAATGTTGGAAACACCACTGATGTTGCTACGTTACTTCTGGGTAAAACTCAGAAGTAATATGGGGTACTTCTAGAAGTTGCCAGAAACTCTATGGTAAAACCATGGGTCAGGAATATCGCTATTTTTTATTTCATTTTTCTCCTGCCACTGCTCCAAGCGGACTTGGGCAATGGGGCTCGCTGGTGGGAGCCCTCTGTTGGCAGCCAAAGGGTGGAAAGGGGAAAAGTGCTTGGAAAATTGCCATTGCTCTGACAGCCTGATGTCACTTTCAGCATAGACCCCAGGAATCCTAGAGTTGTTGCCATGACTTGATGACATCATTCCAGGGTCATGCCGGAAGTGACATCATGCCGTCAGAATGATGCCAGTTTGAATTTTCCCTCTCTCAAGCCTCCTGTCAGTCTCCAGCACATGGGGTGGCAAAAAAGGGGGGAAATGCTTGGAAAATTGCCATTGTTCTGACAGCATGATGTCACTTTCAGCATGGACCCCAGGAATCCAAGAGTGTTGCCATGACTTGATGACATCACTTCCAGGGTCATGCCGGAAGTGACATCATGCCGTCAGAATGATGCCAGTTTGAATCTTCCCTCCCTCAAGCCTCCTGTCAGTCTCCAGCACATGGGGTGGCAACTCTAACATTGATGCTAATTAGAAAGCATCTTCAAGCCATTGATGCCTACCAAAGAAACCTCCCCTGACGCCATCTAAACCAAAGACCAGAGGTTAAAGGTCATCTCCTCACTAAGTGACCCTCCCGGTAGCCTGTTCTTCCTCACCAGCCATTCCTTATGCTTGAAAATTCAGAGCTGGGATTCATTAACAAACCTGACAGTCTCTCTCAGGGCTTGAACAAGGACAACTCCTTATGAAAAAGGAAGCCGCCCACCATCTTTGTTCAAAGCCTGAGAAAGCCTGTCTGGTTTGTTTGACAGATTCCAGCCCCGAATCTTTATACATCAGGCAACCCAGAATGGGATTTCACCCAACACAGCCGGGGGGAGGAACGCTAACATCTGCATCCCAACAGCAATCAGGATTAAAAAAGGGAAAGAAGGTTAATCACGGGGAGGGGGGGGGGTGTTTCAAAACCAAAACCAAAAAAACAGCTCTCCTGAGGCAAACTAATTTGGGGAACTATGCAAACACTGGCAACGGGGGAGGGGGGGCAGGTGCTGGGTCAGAACACTCTGTGAGGAGAAATGCACACAGCAAGAAAACGCTGGAACGCAAAGCCCTCTGAAGGCTGGGAACCACCATCTATTCCTGCTTCCAGCTTTCTGTGTTAATTGTATGTCCCCCCCCTTCTGCATGAGGAGCAAGGCCAATCTTGCTCCAAGGTCGCTGACAAAGGAAACCAAGAGTTGGATCCCCAGCGGGCCTAGAGTATTACACAATGCTGAAATATGAAGCCCGGCACTTGTGTAATCCATTGGCCTTTGGATGCAGCATGGCTATT